ACACTCGTGGCTTTGTTTACAAGTTATAGTTCATTTGCAAAAAAGCACAATGTGAATGCAAACCGCACCAAACGAAAAAAAATGTCAATTTTTGGTCCGGACCAAACAATTGGACCAAAGGACTTTCCTGGTCTGAATACACCCTTAGATCCTGAAAAAGAAGAAAGAAAGAAAAAACATACTTCAGCTTAAATATTGTCTAAGGACTTGCTAAATGGTTGATGTATGGACATGTTGTTCACTATTCTTTGAGTTTAGGTTCCTGTTTTATGCCTAAATTTATAAAAGTGTAAAATGTTCTGAAATGTTTTTAAGTGGTTGGACCAAATGTGAGGATATAAAGAACTTCAGTACCAAGAACATCAGACATGTAACTGTTTCCTATGAAAATATTGTGAAAATTTTTAAATGATTTTAGTTTAGTCAAAGGTCAGTGCAACTTTTCCTGGAACTTCCACAAACAAAGCATCATATCTTTGAGAAGCAACATTTTGATATTCATATTGACCTCATTTTAACATTTTGTATTTTTTTTTTATCTACTGTTCAAATTCATACCCACACAAAATTATTTTTAGAAATTCTCATGATAGCCTCAGTTTTTACAACATTAATGATGTTTTGTCTTTTAGCCTTGATTCCTACACACACTCATGCTTTGAGTGTATGAGTAACACAGTAATAATGCTTAAATGTATACATGAGTGGGTATCGGTGTAACATGCTGCCATCTAAACAAGATTTTCTTTGGAAACAGAAGAACACGTCAAACCTCTTTCTGCAGCTGTCACAACCACATGGTTTCCTGGTTGTAGAGTTTAGATAGTAAACTGGCCTTAATGCAGACTAAGAATTTGTTATAATGGTAATGTTTTTAACCCACACAATATTTATACTTGTACTTACCGGTAAGTACTCAGCCTCTAAGAAAGAGATAAACTCTTGGTACCAAAAACAAAACTGACAGTCTTTCAACATTCTGATTTGTAATAATTCACTTCTGGGGTCCAACATGAGTTTTGTTTTCCTCTTTTACTTAAACTACAGCTAAATGAAGTGGTAGCAGCATTGTTCTAAAGTAGCCTAAAGTTATAAACATTTTCTCTTCAACATTTTACACATTTATTAATTGTACATAGTGAAGGTTTGGAAATACGTAAAGCCTTGTCTCACAGAAATAAAGAATAATACTCATTCAGAGTAGCACATCTACATGTGCTTCAATGGAAAACAAAGGCCATTCTGTCTACAGACGTGTAGACCTGACAACAGTTACATTCATGTAGCATACTTCCTGTATGTTGGGTTAACTACAGAGAAAGACTAAAGACAACCTGCAATTTTAAACCCATATACTCTTAGCTGTGAGACAACCACTGCCTGCTTTTTTTCAGCACCATGATTTCAGTGCCAGTTAATTAT